GTGTTTTTTGAATTTAAATATGCAATTTCAAAATTGTTATGATGTGAATTTTTTAATATAGCAATATTAATATTGGAGGGAGATGCTTAGTGTAGCTTATGTCGTGACAAATATAAATATATTTCTACAAAATTCAACCTAGGTAATTTTGATTTATAATTTAAATTATTATTATTATTATATATATAGAGCTGAAACCGCATTGAAGTTCCTTTAAAAAAATAGATAGCATAATTTAATGCAGCTCCTTTATTTTTTGCAACTCAATAATTATGTGACCATTCAATAAAAATATTGCATCATGACAAATGATCATTACTAAATAAAAAGTTCACCAAATGTTAAACTACACGAGGGAGGGAGAAAGGAACGAAACATTTTATTAAAAAAGGTTTAAAAATCTTTTCCTAACAAACACATCTTAAAATTATAAGATTGACGACGATATATAATAGATAGAAACGGACAATATCTACTAGTGGTTGACTTAGATTGTTACAAATGGTATTAGAGCTAGACACCAGAAACTACAAGGTTGGTCGAAATAGGGCTAGACTCCATAATAGACGCGTTTTAAAACCATGGGACTGGTAGTGATACGTAGCAGGCCAAAACGGACAATATTTGTTAGCGGTGGGCATAAACCATTGTAAATTATATCAGAGTTAGACACGAGGAGAGGTACCGAAAGAATAGTGGACTCTCAAGGAGAGTCAATTACGAGATCACGCATCGATAATGGACCGAAATGGTTATCTATTAGCAACAGTAGACTTGAAATGGAAACAAAATAGTAATTTAAGCTATATAAAAGTGATTTATTTATGCATGAACAAATTTGTGTATTAAAATGAAGAATGAGTGGCAGGGTGTACCCACTTAGTGGTGGTTCACATTTCAAGCTCATAAAACTTACCTAATATTCCGATAGACTAAAATCTAGCATATAGTGACATTGCCATTATTGGATAATTAAATTTCTAGCAATCAGGCAACCTTTTGTTATATAAAATATTATAATTTTGTGAATTAATTTCTTAAAATAAATTAAAGAATAAAAGTGGCATACAAAACATTTTTATCTAACACAAAATTAAAAAAAATTCTGTTGAGAATTGCCCTAAACTTTATGGGCCGTAGAGATGACCCGAAATTGTTCCACGACAATGTCGGGCCCTTTTCAATTATTTTGGCCCATTAATGTGTGTTGCTCTAAGAATCTCAAATTTGGGCTTTCCATATGAATCCAAAAAGGTACCTCACAATACAAACACAGATCTTTGTGGATTCAATTCCAAATCTTAAAAATACTTTTTCCTTTTTAAATATCCACAAACTTTTCATATATAATTATAAATCCATTTATCATGCATATTTTTATTTTTATTTTAATTTAACACCGAAACTCGAGTCAATATATAATAGTTTCATATCCTATGCTTAATCAATCGTTTTTATCTAAATTAAAAAAAATTAAAACCTTATCCCTAACACAGAGTTTGTTGAATAGTCGACTCAATTCGATAACTAATTAGAAGCATTTTTTAAAATTAAAATTTTAATTTTAAAAGGGTGACTTTTAAAATTTCTAAGAATGTAATAATCCCAAAAAATTATAAATTTAAAAGATATTTAATAAGTTTTAAATATTAAAATATCCATAAACTTTACCAGTTTTATTTTTGTATCTAATAAACAATATAAGGAGAAAAAACAACACAAAAGACTTTCATCACATGGTCGCCAACCAAAAATCGAAACAAAGAACACGATATGGTGATCCAGAGTACAGTTTTCCTAGGAATGCATTATTCCACACTTTCTCAATTTTAAATGTGTTTCCAAATATTATTAGAAATTATGGTATCAGTAGTTCTCATCCACCGCGTACTCTAGCACATGCATCCAAAATCTCAAACTAGACATATGCCACTTCATAATAATATATATATATATATATATATATATATATATTATAAATTAAAACTTATATTTTTGAGTTCTCCTAATAATAAATAATAATAAAAATATAAACACGTGATAAACGTATTCAATTTAATATAACTGATATTTTAAAAATATATATATTAATAATATCAATTCTAGTTATTAATTTTCTTTTTTTTGATCTCCCAATAAAAAGTTAAAGGCTGTTATCTTAATTTTCTTTTTTATATGTATTTATTGAATAACGAATAGGTAAAACGTAAAAAGGGTTGGATAAATATTATCCTCCTCAGAACTAAATGCACGTAAACGTACTCTCAAGTCATTCATTTCGCGCCTCACATGCCTTGGTTGGCTCGTTTTAGGCTGCCTTCTCTGTATTCTGTACTCTCCCACTAACCCCGCCACGTGCCACAATCTCAAAGGTCCACGTTACCATCAAACAGTCGGATTAATTCGCAATGTCCAATTTGGCCTCAAAATCAATGACAAGTTTCGGAACAGTCGCGAAAATCAGGGGTAGAATCGTCTTTTAGCCTATTGTTCGTATTTATTTAATCGTCCCTCTCGTTTGCGAGTTTTAAGGCAGATTTTGAAGACGTAGCTGGTGTGTGAGTCCTCGTCTTTCGGTTTGCGCTGTGTGTTTGTTTGTCTGATTCAGGGAACAATGGCGTTTGTTTCTCAATTCAGTCAACTTCCATGCAGGACTCTCTTACTGAATCCACCGCAGACTCAACTCATTTCTAAACCCTTGATTTTCCCCATCGGTCCGATTGTGGCTGGCGCCAGAGCCGCGGCGGGGAAGTTAGCGATCTCAGCCAGACCTGCGTTTAAAGTCCGTGCGGTGGAGAACGATGACGAGTGGGGCGAGGAGAAGAAGGGGCCCTACGCAGATGGTCCGGCTGTGGCGGTCGCCGAAGTGGAGGAAAAGCCTCTGGAGCAATCGGAGATTTATAAACTGAAGAAGGCGTTGGTTGATTCGTTTTACGGGACCGATCGTGGATTACGAGTGAATAGCGAAACTAGGGCAGAGATATTCGAGCTGATTACGCAGCTGGAAGCGAAAAATCCAACACCAGCTCCTACTGAGGCTCTGTCTCTGCTCAACGGCAAATGGATTCTCGCGTAAGTTCTCGCAATAATACATGATTCAACTTGATACAAGTAGCCTTGTTGGTTATTCCTCTAACAGCGCATTTTATGAACAGATTTCTCTCTATACTATATGATTGAACTTCGTTATTAGGAATCGAGTAATTTTTTAGGTATGACTGAAAAACTGGAACGAGTTTAATCTAATTTCTTATTTGCAAACCTTCATAATTTCTTAAATGTTGGTGGTAAGTTCTTGTACATGTTGATTTTGCAGTTCATATTTGGACTGGTATTGTTCTGAGTAGAAATTTATCACCCTGAGTTTGTTGATATGAATGTTTGGGGCTGTAGGTACACATCGTTCTCGGGTCTGTTTCCCCTGTTGTCTAGGAGTACATTTTCATTGATCAAAGTGGAAGAAATTTCACAGACAATTGACTCTGAGGGCTTCACTGTCCAAAACTCCGTCCTGTTTTCCGGCCCTCTAGCCACCACTTCCATCAGTACTAATGCCAAGTTTGAAGTTCGAAGCCCCCAGCGCGTACAGGTAAGCGAGAATCTGTCTTTGACATGGCAGTGTGAACCGTAGAAATAAAATGGATTTTCTTGTCCGTATGCGCATTCTCAACTGTTTGACTTTCCAGATCATGTTTGAAGAAGGTGTCATTGGGACTCCGCAGCTGACGGATTCAATAGTGATACCAGAAAATGTGGAGTTTCTTGGGCAGAAGATTGAGCTTTCGGCATTCAGCGGCATCATATCCTCCATTCAAGACACTGCTTCAAATGTGGCCAAGACAATTTCGAGCCAACCCCCAATCAAGTTCCCAATCTCGAACGCCAAGGCAGAGTCGTGGTTGTTAACTACTTATCTTGATGAAGATGTTCGAATTTCACGAGGAGATGGCGGTAGCGTGTTTGTACTCATCAAGGAAGGCAGTGCTCTCTTATCCCCCTAAAACCCTTAATCTTCTCACTATATTCTGCTGTTCCAAGGTGGAAATGGAGGAGTTCTATGAAGGGTTCATAGGAAACTGAATTATTATTTAAAGTTGCTGTCAAATTCGTAAATGGTATTGCCTTTTGTTTAAGGCCAGCTTCAATTCGCTATGTCTTCTGTTAAATTGGTAGTGGTCACTTGAGTAACAGAAATTATTCAATGGTATGCAAAGCTTGTTTGGATTAGTATTTTATATCCTATTAATTACTGTCTTTTGGGATGGATTACCAAATTAGCTGCATCAGAAAGACAGAAGCCTCCAATAGGCCTTGGGTGTTCTTAAAATATTTCACAAAGAAACTCATTTGTTCATTATTGCATCCAAGAGGGAGGTACTTGAAATTTATGTTCTATAGTTATTGAGTGATGAACAAATTATAGAATTCTACAACCAACCATAACTTACTACATTGATCGGAGATGGGAACGAGTGCCAACGAAGACATTGACTCCTAAAATAGGTGGATTGTGAGATCTCACATCGATTAAGGAGAGGAACGAGGGCCAACTAGGACATTGAGTCTTGAAGGGAATAGACTGTGAGATCCCATATCGATTGGAGAGGGGAACTAGTGCCAACAAGGACGCTGGGCTCTGAAGGGAGTGGATCGTGAGAAGAATGAACATTTTTTTTATAAGGGAGTAGAAACCTATCCCTTGACAACACGTTTTAAAAACTTTGAAAGAAAGTCTAAAAGAGCCTTAAAGAGGACAATATCTGTAAGCATAGGCTTTGACGATTATATACTCATTTGGAACAATCTACCGGTTTGATCATTTGCTACGGGTTCTTTATGGATCCAAAAAGAGACACCTTTCATTACCCACAACGCCATGCACAAAATGGTGCTTTGATTCTTGGCGATTAAGTTCATCAATGAAGCCAATTGGGTAAAACTCTGTTTTTTCAATGAATTACACGAGGCATTGAAGTGGGTTTTGGATTGTTATAATCAAGTCACATCAATTTGCTTTGATTTTCTCTGTTTTAACGAGAGAACTACAACAAAGGAGCATTATAATCCACCCATTAAAAGACCATTGATAGGCACATACACAATCAGTCCAGAACTTTCCATTTTTCCCATCAAAATTCTGTACTCTCTCTCTGAGTTCTTGCTATCTTGTTTCTGGGAATTTAAAGAAGCAAGACTAAACATGTGAAAAGAACGCTGAAATGTTCCTACAAATGGCGTTTACAAGCCAAGAACAGATGGCTACAAACCTCATGGAATACCTCTAAGATGACGCCATGGCACTCATCTGAGTTCATGGAGATATAATAGTTCAACAGGCTACGTAGATCCTTTGGCTCCTCAATTCGGTTGGCCAAAATCATTTCCATCATCGAAACTCTAAAGTCCTCTCTGGGGTCGTCAGAGCATTTCTCCCTCGCCACCATTACAACAAATTTGGTGTCTTCACTTCTCTGTTTCCTTCTTTCTTTACTCTGCCTCATCTCTCGATTTTCCCTTATCATTTGGTCGAGCCTCTCCTGAACCATGGCGTGGGCTATGCCGGAGACCGACGGGAATCTCTCAGAGCTGAGGCTTTCTACTTCTTCTGAAGATGAAAAACTCAACCTGCAATTACAACTGCATCCACAGCACAAGGCCCTGAAGGCTCTCTGTTCTTGCTGATGCCGTTGGGTTGAGGCCACTGCTTTCATTCTCGGTGCTTTGAAGGGAATTTGGAGGCCAAAATAATCATTTATGCACAATTGGCAAAGTGGGTCTTGTTTTTTGGATTTAGAATGGTTCAAGTTGCGGTTATCGAAGAGAAGGGGATAGAAGAGGGAGGGAACAAGAATTGGGGGAAGCAATGATGATGCCTGAGTAGACCTCTAATAATTTGCTTTAGAGGGAATCATGAAACTAGCAAGCTTTTTTCTTTTCTTTGCAAACTGTTCAGTGCATCAATGGCGTCTGGGTGATGTCGATTTTGCCAAGTCTCTTAGTTTCGATTTAAGAATTGATATTGAGATATCCACATTTGTGGCATGGGAGGGATCTTTTGATTATTATAAAAGAGGGGAGATTTCTAAGCTTTTTAAAAGAAGGTTTTGGGTTGGCTGGCTTCACATGCCTTCTAACTACCAAGCTTCTAGTAGAGCACTTGATGAATTGTGATGAAAAGAACTGAGAATGAAGTACAAAAGTGAGGGCGATTCCCGAGATATGAACAGGTGGAATTGGTTCTTCCCCAGAAAAGTATGCATAAAAGTGAGTTAATGATCTACTGCGTTTAAGTTCTGCGATGAACTGTGAAGTCGTGAGAGCTGCGATCCTCATAAAGAACATAGACCTAAAAGAGGAATGTGGGCAAAATCTGAGTCAGGATTGTATACAGCTGGTGGGAATCTCTTTCCCTAAATGTCGTGTTTTTGGCTCTCATGTTTTACCACATCAACGTGAATTGTTGTGAAGCTCAATCAACACATCACGTTTTTGTTATAATTATCCTAAACACTAAACCACCACCATCACAACATAGATAGATGGATAGCATGGTTAACCGAAGTATTCTCCGATCTTGAGTTTATAAGTAATGAACCCTATTTCTATTGAAATGAAACATGAAAGAGAAAACAAAAGTAAAGTCATATGAGCTCATGCTCAGAGTGGACAATATCATATTATTGTAAATATTAGTAGTTTCTAACATGGTATTAAAGTCACCCTCTTAATGACTTTTAGTCATGCTAATAGAATCATTACTTGTCTAACTAAGAAGTGTAGAATAAAGAGAGTACTTTGTTTGAGGGCTCAAGAAATAGTGTCAAACCTTGACTAAGGGGGCTGTTTGAGTGGTCCAAAAATGGAGGGGCAAGAGGAGGCGCTGTGCTATACTTTGTCGTGGGGAGGATTATTGAGAATTATTGAGAGGAATACCCATTGAATTTTACTCGACTGTCTACGGCTCCATTGCATGTGCTTGGGGTATAAGTTTTGTATAAATGTATCGCCATCCTATTAAGTATTTTGATTTGATCTATGGACAGCATCGTTGTGGTAAAGGTCGTAATGCCAGAGGAATCATTACCGCAGGGCATAGAGGGGGAGGTCACAAGCGTCTATACCGTAAAATCGATTTTCGACGAAATGAAAAAGACATATATGGTAGAATCGTAACCATAGAAAATGACTCTAATCAAAATGCATACATTTGTCTCATACACTATGGGGATGGTGAGAAAAGATATCTTTTACATCCCAGAGGGGCTATAATTGGAGATATCATTGTTTCTGTTACAGAAGTTCCTATAAAAATGGGAAATGCCCTACCTTTGAGTGCTGTTTGAACTATTGATTTACGTATTTGGAAGTAACCAATTAGGTTTAGGACGAAACCTAGAAATCGATCACCGATCCAATTTGAGTACCTCAACAGAATAGACCTCAATAGAAAACTGAAGAGTAACGACAACAAGTGATTGAGTTCAGTTGTTTCTCATATAAAATTATCGACTCTAGAGATATAGTAATATGGAGAATACTAAATTGTTTCAAGCACCGACAGAACCAGAAGCGTCCCTTGTTTCAAAGAGAGGAGGACGGGTTATTCACATTTCATTTGATGGTCAGAGGCAAATTGAAAGCTAAACAGTGGTAATTCAAAGGATTCCCGAGGGGAAAAATAGAAATGTCTCCTACGTTACCCGTAATATGTAGAAGTATCGACGTAATTTCATAGAACATAAGCAAGATGAAGGAACGGGAAGACCTAGGATGTAGAAGATCATAACATGAGTGATTCGGGGGATTTGGATTCCTATATATCTACTCATGTGGTACTTCATTGGACGATATATATAAGATCCATATGTATAGATATCATCATCTACATCCAGAAAGCCGTATGCTTTGAAAGAAGCTTGTACAGTTTGGGAAGGGGTTTTGATGGATCAAAAAGAAGAATGTAAAAGAGAGAAAATCGGCCACATTAAAATTACTTTATAGGGAGGTCCGTTTGATATCCAAAAATTGCTCAGCAACAGTCGGACAAGTGGGAATGCTGAGGTAAACCTATTATTATTATTATTATTATTTGAAATTTTTTCTAAGTTATGATATCCAGTAACAAAATTGATTACGAAATCGTTTGGAAGTTGCTTCGTGAATCTGGATCATCCTAACAACGAAGTTGCAAGGGTATGCTCTTAACGCCTTCAAATGGAAATGAAGTGGCAAATTGGTTGCATGGCCACGCCCGACAAGGTCAAGCTACACATTCAGAAACCTGGCTTGAACTAGGAGATTGTCCACTCTCAGGCCCAGCTCTAGAAGCATTTTAAATGGGCCTATTATGGGCTTTCTTGAGACTTGGGCCGAGAAAGCCGGGCCTCCGCACCTCTGGGGACGCAACCCACAGAATCAAATTCGTTACCCTAAGCCAGCACCAGGTATTTCTTAATTCAACCTATAACCGAACCACACAAAAGTAAAGTGTCCAGGTTGAAAGACTGTTTTACCCTTCTTCAGTCGTGTTTCAGTTCGGTATTGGAATGGCCAGTCCGGACAATTTCCTATATTTTAGGCGTTGAACACGAAGTGTTAAGAGTATCGTAGTCTCTCAGTCTCTCGCCCCCATCAGTTTCCCTAGTGATCGTGCTTGCTCTAGTTACAATGTCGATTTCTTTCATCTCCAACGGTGAAGCCGCCGTCAGATCGAATCATGCGCCGGTGACTGGACGAGTTTCCTCAGTGTATAGCGAAGTCCAGTCCAGTCGTATCGACCACAATCTGCCTCTGCCTTCTGTTCTCAGAAGTTCCTTTACTATCGTCGATGGACCCCCTAGCTCTGCTGCTGGCAATCCAGGTACTCTGTTCTATTGGATACTCACGGGATCTATGTATATGTCACTGTTGGTTGATCTTATGGTGTTTATTCCTTTCGATCTGGAAATGAGTTTTTTCTTATTCATTTTCAGCATTTCTAATTGTCTTTTCGTTTTTATTCCACTGAAAGGGAACAAAAATCATGGAAGCAGTTGCTTAGGCTTTAGAGTTCAAGTTCACTTCGTTCATATTTTTGTGATTGTTTCTGATCTCACAGATCTTACGTGAATTCTCGCGATATAAGTCTTGTATATTCTTCCATAATTCGATTAGGTGCATGAGTCTGGACGAGGGATTTGAATTTAGTTGTTTCATTGTTTTTATTTACGTTTGTTTTATCCAGACGAGATAGCCAAGCTATTTCCCAATCTTTTCGGCCAGCCGTCGGCAAAATTGGTGCCAAGCGATTCCAACAAAGTTCAACCGGACAAGAAGTTAAAGATTGGTGTCGTGTTGTCTGGAGGCCAGGCCCCCGGAGGACATAATGTGATTTCTGGAATTTTTGGTAATTATTATTTTTCATTTAACGAATTAATTCCGATAAAAATACGCGTCAATCTACTTCGAACTATATGTCATTTATTCTTTGGGTTTTAGTGATTTTAAATCTGTTTTGGCGATAGATTACTTGCAGGATCACGTCAAAAGCAGTGTATTGTATGGCTTCAGGGGTGGCCCTGCCGGGATTATGAAATGTAAATATGTGGAACTGACTTCCGAATATATTTATCCATACAGAAATCAGGTAAACTTTTACAGATCTTCACAACTGGAAACTTTTAAATGCTTCTAATGGCGTTGACTTCTAGTGGATTTCTATACTCTAACGTACTTGCTAAATTTAAACTTGGTCATCATATGCCATGTGTTACTATGTAAAACTATGAGTTAGCTGATGCATGGGCATAATTAATGATGACTATTGGTAAAGAGAAAAGGGATTATTTGTGTCAAATAAATTAATAATGGTTTCTTTGTTTTCGAGTTCTTTTCAGGGTGGGTTTGATATGATATGTAGTGGGAGGGACAAGATTGAAACTCCTGAGCAGGTGAGCCTCTCTTTTGCCTCTCAAGAGTGCGACATTATGTCAAAGTGACTTGGATTTGTTAGGATAGATATATGAACTTAGTTGAGTGGGCTTCATTTTTCAGTTCAAACAAGCTGAAGAAACAGCAAAAAAGCTTGATTTGGATGGGATTGTTGTGATCGGTGGAGATGATTCCAATACAAATGCCTGCCTTCTTGCTGAAAACTTCAGGTGTGAAAGAAGATAATGCATCGGGAGCTTGTCTCCTTAAAACAGCATTGGCGGACTGCTCTATTTGACAAAGTTTCCTTTTTTGTACATTGTTTTAGTTTTTCCTATTGTATGTGTTGTGAAATAATCTCTTTTCTTCTGTTCAGGGGTAAAAATTTGAAGACCAGGGTAATTGGTTGCCCCAAAACAATTGATGGAGATCTAAAATGCAAGGAGGTGCCCACAAGTTTCGGATTTGATACAGCTTGCAGGGTAACTAAACCATTTCTTTTGCTGAATTCTTAGCCTGCGGCTAATGCTTTTTATGTAAAATGGCATCCTTCTATGATTGTTCTAATGTTTTTTTCAAGTTTTTTCTCGCTGTGAAAGTAAATATTAGTATCTTAGATTATTTCTGAAGTCTTTCCACCGTTTCATCAAACATATGATTTATTGTGAAGTTGAGATATTTATAATTCATATCACTTGCAGAGAGAAGATAATTGTTTTGTCTGGGTTTTATAGTTTTCCTATATTGGATTGGCATTATATTTGTTCATGTACTACTACTAAAGAAGTTCATGTTTCTAATGTGGCAGATATATGCGGAAATGATTGGTAATGTCATGGTAGATGCTAGATCAACTGGAAAATATTATCATTGTAAGTAAACAAGTATTGAAGTTAATATCCATGGTACTATCATTCATCATATCACGGTATTGTGCCACCAAGAAAATCAGTTTTGTCTGTTTG